CTTATAATGTGTATTAATGTGTGTAGCAAATGCATTAACACAATGCATCATAAAAGTGGGATTTAGCCCTTAGGATTTATCTGTACTATAAATCAGGATTTGTGGGACAACAGTTGGCCTTTTTGGGAGAATGGAATGATTTTTCAGGATTCTACTAATTGTATGAAAAGTAAAGCCCTTTATTTTTATTTTGTGATATACATAATAATAGAAGTATCCTCTTTATCTGAAAAGGCCTTGCTGTACTTGCTGTTGCTACAGGATGCTTTCACTGTGAATGTCCATGTTCAATTATGGAAGACAAGCCTCGGAAAGATTTCTCCTGGGTGGCGTGTGTGCCCAGCAGGAAGAGGTCGAACTGGCCACGGTTGTTAATTTTTGTTTGGTTCTGAACCATGCTGTTGATGGATATTTGTAGGCCTCATTATTCACTCACTGGGTGGCAGATGGATGAGTAACAGCTTCTGAAGGCTTTGTACACTGTGACCAGGGTCATGTGTTGCTGCTGAGAAGATACACAAAGATAGCTGACAAATGGAAACTGCTTAGCAATATGATATTACCTTGCCAGGTCAACATTTATATGCATGCAATAAAACCAGCTGTATATTTACTCCATGCAATTTTTTAAATAAATTGTTGTATTCTAAAAAGTGTTCTGCGAGACCACTATATATAGTATTTAAAGTTGGTTTAGGAGAAAGAGATTTTAATTGCATTTATGGATGAAAAGTAAAATATGTACATTAAGGTGCTATAAGTGCTGGTTCACATATATGCAGATTAGATGTGGTTTGATTTGCATCCAATCCCCATGAATTGTGAAATAACATTGCTTCATATGGTGCCTGTTCCCATATGTCCAGTGCACTAGCAATGCAGATTTAGTGCAGAAAAGAGTCCCGTAGGATTTCTGGGCAGTGCAGTCTGGTTCAGATGTGGATTACAGGCTATTGACTTCTATTGGAACCATTTCTAAACTGTAAATGTCATCATTTGTGAACAGGATAAAATCCTAACCTGAACCTAATCTAAATCTGTCCTGAACTTGGCCTTAACCACTGAACAACTCCTGTATCTATTAGCTGTGAATGTGTGAATCAGCACTTAGGGTTACAATATTTTCCAGCATGGAGCTGGTTTTCTGTCTATTGGTCATATCAGTAGGCTGCCATGCAATCATACATTAGGACAGTGTTTCTCAACCTTTTTTCATTTGAGGCATCCTTTAAAAGCATGTACAATCTCAAGGCACCCCACTGTAATTTAAAAAAGCTAAACTAATAGTTTTACATAATGCAGCAACTTTCACACTTGTAGGACATCCTGCATTGGAGGGGATTTATTCTTCCAAAGCAAACACCTTTTTACACTGGTACTGACTAGTATTCCAATGTTCCTCCTCTGCCTCACTCTGCTGGTGTGACCCCAGTGCTGATGGAGACAGGCAGGGGAGGCAAACAAGGATGCTGTGCAGGCGCCAACTTCCTCCATTCTCAACCAATGATGCCATTGGTTGTTAGGACGCCAGTGGATGGAAGGTTGTGAGGGTGCACAATGAAAACCCCTGGCTTTGTGTAACTAAATGTCAGGCTTGATCCACCTGCTGGCTTGTATACAATGTTTGGGCACTTTTTAGGCATTTTGCCAAGGCACCCCTGAAGAAATATGGAGGCACTCCAGTGTGCCTGGGCACCCTGGTTGAAAAAGGCTGCATTAGGAGGTAGAAGGTGGAGATTTTTGTCAGAAGAGACATACAAAGTCTCTTCTGCCAAAAATACTTCCCCTCTTCCCCTGCCGATTTATTAATTCCGGCATACACTGTATGGCACATCCAAGTGCTGGAAGGGATGCAACTCCTATGTGCATTTAAAAAAAATGACATCATCAGTGACCCAGTGACTAAAGAGGATCACAGCCAAACCTAGGAGAGCTGACAGCAAAGATGGCAATAGCAGAGGGACCCATCCTTGCTGGAGGACACCACAGAAGGAGGTGTATGCCATAATCTGCTGTGCATATTCGTAGATTATAGGAAAAATTCACCCCACCAATGAAAGTATACTTCTGTTTTCAAGTTAAATCACTAAATATCTGCACTGGTTAAAAGATCTTTTACAGTCAAATAAAAGAACTGTATTGAGAGATATAGAGGCTGTCCTAGCTGACCTGTTTTTGAAAAAGTAGCTGCCTGGCTATCTCCAGCCTTTATACTTTCTGAGTCACTGACCTGGAACAAGCATGCCACATGGGAGTCAGAGAATAGTTGGAATTCCTGAGCTGCAAACCTGTTCCAGTACTGACACCTTTGGATTAACATAACTATGATAGAACTGGCAGTTTTAAAAGAGTTTAACAATAGCAGCATATGTATGCTTAGCGTAAGGTTCCCTCAACGTGGCTCTGTTGCTAAAATCAAAGTGCCCAAAAAAAGCTGTCCTTGAAAAAATTAGTAAATACATCTCATGCCCAATGAGCCACACTGATGCAAAGAAATCTTCTGCTGCAGTCTTTTCAGAAACCAACACTTCTGTAAGTGTCAGATTCTTGGCCCCTTGCTGTTCTCAGTAATTCCTCCTGCTAATCCAAATGGCACTACTGTAACCTATTGTGACTGAGAAGTTGGTGGGAAGAACCTCTGAGAGCAAGAGGGACCAGGAGATGTGCACTGCCCGAAGAGATAGTTTATGAAGAGACTTCAGCAGACGTTCTTTCTGCATAAGACCGGGGTGGGAATTTTAAAGGTAAGTGTTTACTATCTTCTTTTGTAGGGACAACTTTTTGAGTATTTTAATTTCAAACGTGTGTTAAGAGAATTGCCATTTTTTTATTGGTCACTTTATCTGCTTAGAGCTTTACTGCTGAGTCCATGGAAACTTTTCATTTAAAGCTAAATTCCACAAATGATAAATAAGCAGATTGGCTGATGTTCCAATCCACACACTTGTTATAATTCATTTTTTTCAAGGTTGTTTTTCAAGGGTTCCTCTGTGTTTAACAATTTGAGAAAAGCTGACTTAAAGTGTAACAAAAGGCAAACCTTTTTTTAATTTTGGATAGAGTAGAGATGGAGTAGAACACCTGTCAATTTTTATTGCTGTCTGTGCCCCCCCCCTTCCTCCTTAGGGAGATTAACCCTCTCTACTTGTCCTGTTTACCATTATCATTGAACATGAAAGTCAAAGAAAAATCTCAAAGTTTGGATTGACATCTGAATACTAATAGAGGGTAAATCGGCAAATGAGAATAGAAGATCTAGTGACCCTGATGACAACCTGGGATTCCCTAAATTTGGAAAGGTTTCCTCTCAATTCCTGTTTTGGCTATAGGACAGGAAGTGAAGGGATATCTCCCCGATACACATGGCAAAAAACAAATCTGACGGGTTATAGCACTCCTAAAGTTGTGCTTTTAGTTACACTTTAACTACTACCCTTCCCAACTGAACATACTTACCACCACTCTGCTTAGCTACCAGAGCAAGATAGGATAAGGATTCTTTCTACTTCCTCATGTGACAGTACCAGGGACCTGAGCAGCCTATCATCAAGCATAAATGCTGTCACTTGGGAGGAATGACAGTGAAAAATTTCTTCACATAACAGATACTTCTCTTAGCTCTAATAACAGGGGAAAAGGAGGGGATGTTGAGTGTGTGTAAAGGCAAACCTTTTATTTGTCATAGTTTTGGATAGAGTGGAGATGGATTAGAACACATCAGTTTTTATTGCTGTTCATGCCTCTATTAGAGAGATTCCCCCTCTCTATTTGTCCTGTTTACCATTCTCATTGAAAGTGAAAGTAAAAGAAAATCCAAAATTTTGGGTTGTCCCCAGAAAAGTAATAGAAAATAAATCTTCCAATGGGGACCCTAATTCTGGTGACCTGGGGATAAACAAGGAATTCCTTTAATTTGCAGGGATTTCCTCTCACATCCTGTTTGACTATGGGAAAGGAAGTGAAGGGAAATCTCCGTAATGTGACACAGATAGTCAAAAAAAGTCTGACAGGGGTTATAACCTTCCATTGCTCTATCCAAAATGAAAAAAAAAAAATGTTTTGCATGTAGTTTTACTATAAAATAAAAATAAATAAAATAAACCGGCTTTTGTACCTTTCCCCACTATTGCATCATCATACTAGCTTGCCCAAGAAAAAAAAGTGTATATTTATACACTACATTGCCAAACGTATCGAGACACTTGCCTTTACACGCACATGAACTTTAATGACAGTCTTAGTCTGTAGGGTTCAATATTGAGTTGGCCCTCCCTTAACAGCTTTGACTTCTCTGGAAGGCTGTCCACAAGGTTTAGGAATGTGTCTATAGGAATGTTTCACAATTTTTCCAGAAGCGCATTCATGAAGTCGAATGAGAAGGCCTGGCTCGCGGTCTCCCCTCTAATTCATCCCAAAGGTGTTCTGTCGGGTTGAGGTCAGGACTCTGTTCAGGCCAGTCAAGTTCCTCCATCCCAAATTCACTCATCCACGTCTTTATGGACTTTGATTTGTGCACTGCTGCACAGTCATGTTGGAAAAGGAAGATTCCATCCCCAAACTGTTCCCACAAAGTTGGGAGCATGAAATTGTTCAAAATGTCTTGGTATGCTGATGCTTTAAGAGTTCCCTTCACTTGAACTAAGGGACCAAGCCCAACCCCTGAAGGACAAATCCACACCATAATCCCCCCTCCACCAAACTTTACACTTGACACAATGCAGTCAGGCAAGTACCGTTCTCCTGGCAATTGCAAAACCCAGACACATTCATTGGATTGCCAGACAGAGAATCATGATTAGTCACTCCTGAAAACTCTAGAGTCCAGTGGTGGCGTGCTTTACACCACTGCATCCGACGCTTTGCATTGCAAGTAAAGCTTGGATGCAGAAGCTCGGCTATGGAAACCCATTCCATGAAGCTCTCTGTGCACTGCTGTTGTGCTGATCTGAAGGTCACACGAAGTTTGGAGGTTTTTAGCTATTGACCCTATAGACAGTTGGCCACAGACCTACAGACAGTTGGCCACAGAAACGCACACTGCACGTTTCAGCATGCGCTGACCCCGCTCTGTTTATTTTTATCACTTTGTGGCTGAGTTGCTGTTGTTCCTAGTTGCTTCCACTTTGTTGACCATGGAATATTTAGTAGCAAGAAAATTTCAAGGATGGACTTACTGCACGGGTGGCAACCTGCAAATAAAAAGATGCCCACCGCCCAAGTCTATACCTGGCTTATATAGCAAGGACACATAAACAGGCATCACAGAGCGAATGAAGGGGAAAGAACAATGGACAACTTGCCAGCCAGCTTGCTAACAACGGGTGGCCACTATCACGGTACTACGCTTGAATTCACTGAGTTCCTGAGAGCGACCCATTCTTTCACAAATATTAGTAGAAGCAGTCTGCATGCCTAGGTGCTTGAATTTATACACCTGTGGCCATGAAGGTGATTGGAACACCTGAATCTAATGATTTGGAGGGGTGCCCCAATACTTTTGGCAATATAGTGTGTGTGTGTATATATATATATATATATATACACACACACACACATATATATGTGTGTATATATATATATAAAATCGAGCATGGGCACACTTTAAAGCTAATCTAATTGTGATTTAAATACTCTTAAAACAAGTTAAACTGATGCAAAAAATATACTGAATAACCTTCACCTTAATCTGTGACTTGTGCTACCACAGAGCTGTGAAAAATCTCAACTCTGCACATTTGGTCTTAAGTTTATTAAACAAATCTACAGCTTTTTAGCACTTGGTACACAGATAATGTGGATAATGTGGATAATACTGTCACTTCAGCAGGGATCAATATGTGTCAAACATCTGTCACTTAGCTGATGGCTTTTAGTCTGATTCTCTAGAACCTTGGTTCCCCTTGAATTTTTCAGCTTTAGTGATAATTATCACACAAGATGTGTTAACCAATTACATATGGATATGATTTGTTGAACAAGGATATTATTTACTGATGTACACTGTAAAGATTTATTAATAACCGCATAATGTGTATAACACAGTATGTTGCAGTGTTCTCTATAGAATTGAATGACTGAAAATGGAAACCTTGCAAAAATTATTTTTTTTACGTTACGTTATTACGTTACATTCATGCTATACCCCAGCAATTATTAAACCCCAAAGAAAATATTTATTATATTGCAGCTTACCAATTCTTAGATGTGTTGGCTGCATTAGTTTTCTTTTTTGAGCTTTCTTTTTTTTTTAACTGGTGATCTTGCCAGTAAGTCTGTTTTTCAAAAGAACAATCTCTTTTGCAATTGTATCAGTTACATGGATGCGACAAACCATTCAGCACTGACAGGGATGCTTACAATGACCAGCTTTTATCTATTTATGTAAAACCTTCACAAAATGAAGGAAAATATTTGCTGTAGCTGCTTATAAAGTGTTAGCTGGAGTTTGGGTTCAATTTGTTAGTGTATTTAAATATGCTAGTACATCAAGCACTCCCCTCCACCCAGACAGACATTGCTGCTTTTCAAATGTGCCCCCTGTGCTCCCTCATGCAGAGTGCGGGCACTGTAATATAGGAGGTGTATTGCTAGCTAGAGCACCAGGTGAAAACAGAGGGAAAAAGCCCCCTCCCCCAAAAAAAGAAAATAATAACTAATACGACCACCACATCTAATGATTGGTAAGTTTAAATTCGATACAGTTTTGGTTTTGGGTTTAATACTGCTTTATTGTGTGTTTGACTATTTGGATGTAAATAAATTATTTGGGTGGCTCCACCCACTCTCCTGAAATGACAGATCACCCCCTGTTTTTTGTATATGTGGTGGAATGAGGCGTAAATAGCATCTATTTTTAAGGAAGCTTTACTATGCTACTCAATAAATAGAGTTGAGGACTTTTATTTCCTTTAGTCTCTTCTCACTGTAACCTGCATGGTTTTTATAATCCAATCATGTGCAAGTAAGAGTGTTGTTTTATATTTTGCTTGATTGGGTATTCTTTGCAAAGTGAAATTTCACCACATTCACCAAGCACTGGGGAACATTCCCTTGCAAAATTCAACCTTCCTTGCAAGTGAACAGCCTTTTTGCTGTTAGTAAATCAACCCCTCAAAAATTCTGACTTTTAATAAAAAAGATTAGACTATGTTGAGATACAAAATATACTCAGCCTCACAATTGTGTGTACTGGTGAAACAGAAAAAAAACCTACAATACTCAAAATTGTAAATAGGCAGCACATTAAAACCTTTTACAGCTCATCACTTTTTTTGGGCCCACCTGTCCATTTTTCATGAATACCCTATTGGACCATCCATTGCCCTCTATGGAGTGGCAGATGTAAACGGACGTGTGTCCATTTATACCCGCCTGCATCTGATCTGATGTTCTCAATCTGTCTAGCAGATCGGTCGCCAGTCAAATGTAAATGGACAGGCGGCCCATTTACACCAGGAAAGCGGGCTGTGTCCATGTCCGCTCTGCATAAGCGAAGCAGTCATGGACCTGTGATCCACTGGCTCACTGAGGATCAGCGGACAGATCCCACGCTGAGCAGGCAGATCCACTGGTGGAGTCCTTAGTCCATTAGTCCATTATATGTGCAATGATGTACACTGCCACTCTTTTTGAAAAGCACCCCTATGTACTTATAGACCTAAACACAGGTGTGCTATAGCACACGTTAATGTATAGATGTGTGTGGTGGTGCAGTGTGTTGCCATAGCACAGGTGTGTGTTTTTTGTGTGTTGAGAGCCATTACAAAATATCGAACATCCTTAACACAAAGATTCTCAATGCATTAAAAAAGCATTTCCAGGTTCATTCAGTACAGCAAAGATTACCGATCTCCACTGCTTTCGATTCAAAATCTGTTTGCTGTCATCCTGGATTTACAAAGGAGCCAGGAGCTTAAAAATTATGAATAGGGAGAGGGCTGTGCAAAGCATTTTTGCCAGGGGTGGCCACAAAATACATCTGGAGGGAGCACCCAAGAAAAACCCTGAGGAGAGCTCTGCCTTTATGCAGCTGGAGATGTCTATCATATTTAAATTTGATCTGCTGCCTTATATTTCATACTTCTAGGTAGTTTTGCCTAGATAAGGCTATGCAAGCCATTCTGTACGTCAGTGATATTACAAGATGGAAATCAGCTATAGTAAAGAAATTAGAACTGTAGACTGTAGAAATTGCCATGATAATTTTCTTTCTGCATTTAATTTAGATGGACTTCAGTTCTTCATTTATTTTGGCACTTTTTAGACCCCAGTGTCCCTTTATTGCCATCTGGCCAACCATGGCTTCCTATCGCTAGTATTAGGCACTAGGAAGAGTTTGTTATGAAGAGAGCCAGAGATATTGTGTGTTATGGGTTATTGGGTGAAAATCTAATTCCTGGTTCTCCAGTCTTCACATAAGTTGGCTACTGAGATGAAATTTGGTCTATCTCTGATGGTAACAACAACCCATGAAAATGTAACTGTTTCTCTCTGGGAAGACTTTGATATAGGTGATTTGATTCATTCTGCACACCTACACTGTTTGGAGGCAGAGTAGACCCTATTGCAAACCAGGGAAATTCAAATAAAGAAAAAGATTGGGATATATGCTACCCCTGGACTAACCCTTTTGCCTGTATTAGGACTGGCCTTGGCTTCTCTGGTGCCTCTCTCCTTGTATCCCTACCTCTATGGCAGTGACCTTCAACTTTGGAATGATTAATTTACTTGTTTAATTTCACTTTCCTGAAGAAGCATCTCTGCAAAATGTGTTGAGATAGTTTGACCTCCTCTACAAGCCTTACATTTGCCTTGTGTTGTGTACTTGCCATATTGTATATATCAGAAGGGCCGTTCTTTCCTTTCTGGAGCAAGTAAATTGTTACTGTATATATCAATGATTGTAATGTAGAGGGTGTCACAAAAGTGAGGGGATCTGCCTATAACAGTGAGCATATGTTTTTAAATTTTGTTTTTTTCACTTGGATTTTAATAACTAACCCTGGCTACTCTGGGTTGTGCTAAGATAACTAAAATGCTGGTTTTATATAGTTGAATGTCCATGCGTCTTTCTTGAAAGGTAATGCACCCCTTAAAGTTCTTAGCCTTTTTCTTTGACTGCTTTTTCAGTTAATACCTTTTCAATAGATGGACTTATTAACATGCACAGAAAGAACCATCTGCAAGCTAGATTTGCTATGCCAAACTAATATTTTCTCCCTATGGCAGGTCCATGCACATATTAACATTGAGGGGTTTCACCTCCTACAAACCTCGTTTGTTTGTCAGGTCAGTTCAAACTTTAACGTTGATATAAACCCCAGCTGGATGACATTTGGTTTGATAAAACACATTTTGTCATCCTTTGTTGCTTCTCAGTGCTGCTGATTTCCTGCATTCACTGTACAGCCATATCTGTTCTACATGCATGCACTTCACCAATGGCTGCGGAGCAATACTAACAATGGGTGATGAGACTGAACCATGCCTGAGTAACATGTATTGTAATTCTACTTGAAGTCTCCAACAGAAGTCTGTTTGAAAGGGTGACAACACAGGAACACAACTGGAAAAGAAGGACAGGCTCCACAACAGGAAGTAGTTAAACACGGATCTGCAGCACTGGATCCCAAAGTATTATTTAATGGAAGCTTTAATTTTACAAATATTGAAAATGAATTTTGAAATTAAGCAGAACTTAGAGCAAAAATTCACCCAGAAGAGGTTCCCCTTGTTTGTCTCCTCTTTACGTTTTGGCATATTATTTTTTTTTTTGGGGGGGGGGGGGTAGGTACCTGGTTTCCACTTCTGCCCAAATCACCTAGATCAGTGGTGGGCAACCTTTTTTTTCAACTGAGCCAAATCTCGCCAAAACCACAATTGAAATTTATTTTGAGAGCCACATTTTTAAAACTGAAAATACATAGGATGGTACACTGTTTTTAGTTTCAATAAGTTTTTATAGTAATTCATCCCCCATATAGTAATTCATGACCCATAGTAATTCATCCCCCATCCCCCATATAGTAATTAATCCCCCATATAGTAATTCATCCCCCATAGTAAATCATCCCCCATATAGTAAATTCATCCCCCATAGTAATTCATCCCCCATAGTAATTCATCCCCCATATAGTAATTCAATTCATCCCCCATAGTAATTCATCCCCCATATAGTAATTCATCCTCCCATAGTAATTCATCCCCCATAGTAATTCATCCCCCATATAGTAATTCATCCCCCATAGTAATTCATCCCCCATATAGTAATTCATCCCCCATATAGTAATTCATCCCCCATATAGTAATTCATCCCCCATAGTAATTCATCCCCCCTATAGTAATTCATCCCCCCTATAGTAATTCATCCCCCATAGTAATTCATCCCCCATATAGTAATTCATCCCCCATATAGTAATTCATCCCCCCTAT